TACACAAATACAACATAAATGGACACTCTTCTTTTATAACAATGATGATGTTATAAAATGTATTTTGCAACATCCAAATTGAATCTTCACGTGATTGATCTTCTAAAATCTAAGCTGTAGGGATGTGAATTGCTGCCAAGGAAGGTTGTGGTTCTTATGACCCAAGGAGAATGAGAACCAATGGAATTTTAGTGTCTAAATTTCTTTCTCTAAAATACAGTTTATAGCACCTATTAGATGGGCTAGAGAATGGATCCTTCTAAGTTGAACCTTCTAATTGTTCACCTTCCAAAGTCCAAGAGGTTAGCTAATTAAACAGCCTCAAGAATGTTGCAGTTTGTATGTGATAAGCTTCTTGGCATCCGAGAAGGGTAGGCACCTTTAGAGTAGGTGTGGACTCTAAAAGAAGAAGAGGGAAAAGAGAGAAACCATAATTTTTCATTCCACAACATTTTCTTACAATAGGAGGCTATTTATACTACTTGAGTAGACAAATTTACAAAATAGACCCATGATGCGGGGCTTGAATTGATGTTTGCTTTGAATTGATTAGGAAATATGCTTAGATTTTCTTTGATATAAAAATAATGAAAGCCCACTAAAATATGCAAGTATACGTGCCGATTAAGTAATAAAATATTAGAGTAGAGTGTTGATCCCACAAGGAAATATTATGCTTAATTGCAATTAAAATACTACTGCTTATTTCAAATGCACAATTTATTCCACTGAAAGTTAAAATGGATATTTTTGAGTTTTTGTCATTTAAGAAAAATTGCAAGAAGATTTGATACCAATGAAGATAAAATATTTTGGACTAATGAATGTAAGTATGTAACAACATAGGTTTTCTAATGAGACTCTTAATTTTAGATGTGGATCAGAGCATATGCATCCGTTGATCCTTATCGAGTTTATAGGGGTGAAAAGAGGTTTATGGCCTTCCTATAGTTTCACTATCTTCATAGAACTTAGAATATTCAAACATTCTATATCTAGGTATGCCAACATTCAATTTCAATATTCCTAATTATTTTAGCATTAAATGAAGAACGGGATATATTGAAAACATCTATATATTCATAATGGCATAAGAGTCTATATTAATACTTGCTATGCTTTTGTATCATTAACCCAAAACTAGATAATTAGCTAGACATGGAAGATATAACAAACAATCTCATTTTTATTTCATTCATTAAAAGAAGAGATACGAGAGAAGTAGCAAGAAAATTGCACCCGGAATGATCAATTAATTTTCTACTCACCCATTCTTTCTCCAACAATAGAGTTTCTCTCACAAGACAGACTAAGATCTCTTATTATAAGTATCTTCCACTTCCCTAGCCTCCATTAGACTTCACTCTAAGGGGGCACTGAAGAAACACTAAGAATTATAATTTTTTTCTCAAGTGTCAGAACTCCCTAAACAACAGAGCTTAAAATTTATTTATAGTAAGTACAGGGATGGGCTCAAGCTCCGCGGCGCTTGACAAAGTGGTGTCATTGCGGTGTAAAATGAACTAGCACCTCAGGGCAATAATGCTTGCTCCACTGCAACGTTGGCTTACCTGACATGATTAATAGCTAAACCGACACGTCTTTTGGTTGAGTCTGCACAACATTTCATCTCAGCCAAGGTTTAAAATTGCGTAAATAAGCCTCGAGGCGTTTTTCGTCTGTGAGGCGAGGCATAAGCCTCGAGGCAGTGTGAGGCGTAAGCCTCACGGACGAAGAATTGCGTAAATGGGAATTTAAGTATTCTAGCAGGTAAATAACAGTAAGAGTCTATGATACAATTAAAACATCTAAATGAGAAGTAAACTTAGTGGAAAACAATAAAATAGATGCAATATATGCATCTAATAGCATAATTTAAAGTACAAAATCACAAATTGAAGTCTATCAAAACTCCCAAAGTACAAATAAAAAAGAACATCTAAAATTCAATCATGTCCCATCACTAAATGGGTCTTTAAGGGAGGCATCTTCATCTCCAATTATATATATGAATGTCAAATCTTCATCATCTTCAATGTTACCTACTTTTCTATTCCCTATTCAATAAAAATGATTAGTGTATTGTTAATTGCATATATTTTAAATGTAATAGCACATAAGAAATTGTGAGATACCTTTGTTAGCTTGTTGTGCTGCAGTACTAGTGGATGTGTGTCGTGTGGTACTAGTGGATGTGCCCGTTTGTTCTGCTTTGCCCCTCAAGACTTCCATACTTATATCCTCTAGCTGCAGGTCTGATAATGACAAATCTGTCTCATCATCTATGAAACACTCATTATCCGACGCTACATCATCACACACTAAAGGGTCATCATCATCTTTTAACCCCTTGTTCCTCAACCTCTTGTTGTGCATAATATACACAAGGGAGTTCATTATGAGTGTTGAAAGTCTATTTCTTCTCTTTGTTTGCACTTGACTATATGTGCTCCAGTTTCGCTCACACCCAGAGAAAGAACAACTAAGATCCAAAACTCTATTAACTCAGGGGTGGAATCACCAAATTGGATTCACCATTCAACTATTTTCAAGAAGGTAAATGATGATCATAATATTTTAAAAGTGTTATGCATGTACGGTTACTTTGCAAAAATAAGCTTACCTGGAAAGCGTTTGACAATAGTAGATTTTGCTGCTTGTAGACCAAAAAAATTCCTCTCTATTCTGAAATAGAACAAGTTCTAAATCTGCAAGTTCCATGAGGCATACGCCTCATCCACGATTAAAAAGGCGTTCGAGGCGGACGCTTCGAGGCTCGCCTCAAATCGAGGCGGAGGTCGGGCGAACTTAGGCTTAAGCCTCAAACATCCGGGCGAGGCTTACGCCTTTTTCCACGGAGGCGTACGCCTCAATACCTGAGGCGCCGAGGCGCATCGAGGCAGCGCCTCGAAAGGGAGAAAGTTACCTTCAAAGCCAGCGAACAGGAAGGGAAAGTCATCGAAGGAGCGCAGTCGAACAGCCACAAAGGAGCCAAAGAAGCGACGCGTGTAATCTCTACACCTCCTATGAAGCAACGAAGCCGAACAACAAGGACGAAAAGAGAAGATGAAAGGCAAACCCTAGACGCAGCTAAGTTATTATTGATTAACTTAATTAATATAATTAAAATATTAATAATTAAGCAAATTAATTAAATACTTAATAGTATAATTAGTGCATAAATTAATTGACTAATTAGTAATATAATTATTAATTGCCAAAACGCCTCGATTCCCGATTTCGCCTTTTAAAACGTTGCGCCTCATCCATTATTGCGCAATTGCGCCGCTGAGGCGCGCCTTAGGAGCCATTAGGCGTAAGCCCCACCTATTCCCAAAATTGCTTAAGCAATGAGGCGCATGGGGGTAAAATTGCTCAGAGGCGCCCCTCTTATTGTGCAATTTTAAACTATGGTCTCAGCAACTGCATCGTCGCGGCGCTCCAGAATTTGAGCGTTGCGGCGCTTGAATGTGACTTTCAACACTGAGGCGTTGCAAGGCTCAGGTCTTCGACGCTCATTTTCCCGAAGACTCCAGTGTTGCGGTGCTGAATTTGGGCACAATGGCGTTGTGTTACGCTGTAGTGTTGACCTTAGTGTCACTGTGGTACTAAAAAACAAAGAAATCGACACTGTAATGTCTTAATTAGGGACCTCGGCATTGACGATCATAACACTGCAACGCTTTATTTGATGACATTGCGGCGCTGTTCAACACTTTTTTTTCCTTGTACACTTCTTGTAGAAACACAACTAAAACAACACTTTTTTTTTGTAAACACAATAAATAGTACAAAATTTGCACTTAACAACCTGGTTCACGTAGAACAAATTAAAAATTGCAAAAATAGAACCTGTGTTCAACCTTGGATATCTTGAAGTATGACATGCACGTTAACATGTAATGAGTGTTTTTTTTTCCTATGCATGGGAGGAAATAGGCTTACAAATAACTTTCCGGCTTTGCTGGAACACTAACTTTATCACCTAATTATAAAAGTTCTTTTTTTTTTAAATTCCTCGCAGCCACATAAATTTAAGCTATAGTTTATAGGATTAAGTTTAAAGTCCACTTGGTTCCATCCATACCATATTTGTATTTTTCCTCATTCTTGTAACCTTAAGTACACATGGGTTGTCATTTATAGAGCATGCCCATGTTTTAATTATTGGGAATTGGACAACACCTAATTCAAATCACCAAGAGTGAATAAAATAAAAAGAAGATAAATGCACAAAATACACCATACATTTTAAATAGGTTCACCTGACAGATGTCTATGTCCTATTGCATTTGATGCATATTTCACTATGATGAAGTTTTTCATAGGAATTCACAAGTCAAATTTAAAGTGCCTCACATAATGATGCCCCCCTCCTTTTATGATTGAAAAAAAAAAAATAATGGATGACCAAAATATATAATGAAATCTCTAAAATAACTAGCAAAAAAAAAAAAGCTCTACTCACAATCAAAGGAGATTAATTATGCTCCAAAATTTAACATTAATATTTAAGTCATCAAACATAATCACTATGAGGGGTACTGCAAGGTGAAGGGAAAAAATCACACGCCATCAAAAAAGTTCCGGTTCTGTTATAATCAATTTTTTCTTGATGTTTTCATCCTATTTAAATGTGGAAATATTTGTGGAGAGGAATATATGCAAATTATCCTTCTTTCTCCAACTGACTTCAAAAATTTATCCTGAAATTCAGCTTTGAATGGATAATCAACTGATGTATGAAAAAGTTTATTATCCTTTTGTATTGTTTTAGATTGTGTATATTACATTATTGTGACTATTTCTCGATTTCATAAAATTTTCCGTAGTCTTCTCGAACTGTTATGACACAGTGCTATGCTTTTCTGAACTTTACAAATGACATTTGTCAACCTTATCAATATAAAAAAAAGGTGTTATGAAGTTGAGAACAATGTAGAACAATCTGTATGTTTGAAGGGAACCTACATAGTAATTAAATTGCCTTTTCAGTGCAGCTCTGTGATTGAAGCTGAAGTTCCCTGTTCCGTTGCCTATGAATGCTACTCAAATAAGGAACTTATCCCCCAATGGATGCCTTTCATATCATCTGTAAAGGTGCACTTCTAATGAATTGTGATTATATTCTCTATTTCTTAATCTTAAATCTTTTTCATGTTGCAGGATAAGATAAGAAACCGTTGTAGAGACTTCCTGAATAGCGTATTTTTTGCTAAGATTTACATGATTTGAAGATTTTATTTTCATGGAAAAGCAAGCATTATATTTCTTAAACATTCTAGTCTCAACTGCTCAATAGACTAATTATTTCCTTTAGCATGAATGTTTACAAAGGAAACTCGAGCAACAATAATTGTGCTGAACAAAAAATAATTGTGCTGAACAAAACTTCTTGTTTGCCATAATTTCTACGAAAGCAACAAAAGTCATGCCTAGTCAAAGCTTTTGTTTGCCACTATAACTAAGAAACCTATTTTATGCATGATGTTTTTCTAGGTACTTCAAGACAATACTTCTCTTGTTCTTGACATAGCCAAGTATTGCTCATTTCTACATGATTTGACGGCAGCCAGTAAACTTATGTGTTAAACTTTAATGGAACTTTAACTACACTGACATTTATTTATCATTATTGTTTTTAACTATTAGTACTTTTCCTCTGTTGGGAGACAGTATCATGATTTGTATCTCTTTGGTTGGGTAAACATTGAATTAAGTAGTTATTTGGTTCACCGACATATGCTAATGTTGTCTTATTAATGCATGTCAGTTGTTTGGTTTAATGTTTTTAAATAACAATTTTTTAAATGATATTTCTGTTTAGATATATTGACATCTAGATGTCTCCAAAATCATTCATAATATAGATATCTGAAATAAATGATACAATAGAAAAATTATAATAATTGTTGATCATTTCAAAAAACTTTATTAATTAAGGATGATTAGTATTGAGCCAAATTTATTGCATTTGACAGTTAACACTATCATCCAATTAAGTTTGTTATTTAGATAGTATTGCAATCTATGTAAAATTGGTATCAAGGTAAAATTAAACCAAACAATAATCCTTAAATGCACTACGAACAACAGCAACAACAACATCAAGCCTTCATCCCAACTATGTGGGGTAGCTTCATGAATCTTTTTTTCTCCATTATGTCCTATTAAGAGTTAAATTCTCATTTAAATCTAATAAATAAAGATCATTTCAAAAATTTTCTAACCAAGTCTTTTTAGGTCTACCTCTACCTTTCTTAACATAAGTCAAATCTAATACATCTACTTTCCTAATCGGGTCATCGCAAGGCCGCCGTTTTATGTTACCAAACCATCTAATGCGACTCTCTCTAATCTTATCTTCCACCGGAGCTACTCCAGCCTTTTTCACGTATATTCTCATTTTGTATCTTGTCTCTAAGAGTAAAGCCAATCAACCACTTGAGCATCCTCATCTCTGCAACACTTACCTTAATATTATGCTTCTTTTTTAATGGCCAACATTTTGCACCATAAAGCATTGCAGGTCTAACCTCCATCGTATATAATTTTCCCTTAAGTTTGAGGGGAACTTTTTTATTACACAACAAGCCCGATGCATTCTTCCACTTCAACCATCCAACTTGAATTCTACTAATAATATCACTATGTAAAGAAGAAAACGCTTTATAAAGAAAGGGCTAAAAAATAGTATAACATACACCAAATATATATGCAACTTTAGTGGGCTTGCAAGTTATGCTGATGAATAAAAAATTATTGAAGATTAACGGCCACCTGTTATTGATAAGTTCACTATTTATTACACAAAATAATTGAGTAGTTATTTGGATTAGATCTTCATGGTTAAATTGCAGAGCAGCCTTCAAAGTACTATGTGAAAAGAAAATAAGATAATAAACAATGAAGATATAATTATTAAGATTAGATTGCAGGGGAAACACCTCAGTGCTATATGAAAAGAGAATACCTTGAAGTTATATAGAAACTTCTAAAACAATCATATCATCTACTTTATTATAATGTCTCAAGTGTTAAGAAGCATAGCCTGGTTATGAAAGTAAATTAAAGATGATAATGTTAAGATGGATAAATTGTAAAACCAGCAAATGTAAAGTTTAAAATGACTGATAGAGATATTACAATGGTGACAAATGTTAGAGATAATTTAATGAAAAGAAAGACTTTTTTAGGGATGCAATCAATTGAGACAGAAATAACAATTTAGGAAGGGATTCAGTCTTAATGCTAAGGCCAATAAGAAAATGGAGATGCTAATAACAATATTGCCACGACATTTGAAGTATTTCAAAATTATTTGATCAAAGAGATGTTTTGTTCATTGACATTTGTAATGTCATGCAATTAGTTAGAGAGACCAACAATTTGGCCCACGAACATCTTTTAAAAACATTTAAAAAATATAAATTATATCCTTTTTTAAGTTGAAATTGGACAACTTCTAAATTGGCTGATAGCTATTGCCACGACATTTGAGGATCTCGTTACTATGTTTTCATATAAATAATTTTGAAATCTCTTAATATAAACTGGACACATTATTTGACAGATTACCTTCAGATCTTAATGACACTGATATTTAAAATAACATAGAATCAAGCAGCCTCTAAATGAAAATTTAACCAAAGGTGAGTTTTAAGTAGAAGTTGTTAGAAAAAAAGTTCAAAATAATGGACCTAAAGACTGGTGCTTTGTATGAATGTTGAGTTACTGTTGAGGAGGGTAATAATGGTGACATTTTCCACAACTTCTGGCTAAGAATGGTTTTTCCCATTTTACCAATCTCCTTCCTCATTTTAAATCCAATTTGAGTATTGCCATCCCACGCTCTTTCCCATCTTCAAGTAGAGTAATAAAGGATTTTAAGTAAATGATGAAGCCGAGTAGCAAGAGCACCCCTAACACAAGTGAGTGAACTTGGTGATCATTAGGTTCTAAAAGACAAGCCTGATGTTTCTCGCTGGTCGTTGAAGTATGAAGTGTTTGGTCGTGATGTAGAACTCTCTTGGCTTGCGCGGAACATGCAGGTATGTCTTGGAAAGCTTCTTGTTCGGTTGTTTATAGACACATTATTATCGTGCAAATCTTCTTTCAATTTGTTTCAGCCCATTCCAAATCAGAAGATTCATTGGCGATCTCTAGAGGGTCTATCCAATAGGTAAGACACGTCTATCGTACATAAGGGATTGGTAGCATATTTCTTAATTCTCATAAATTTCATTTAGCTATTTTCAAAATTTCCATTTTTGAAGTATTTGTTTTTCTTTGATGATGGTATTTTCTGCAATGTGCATGTTTGTACCTTTTAGTAGTTCTTGCTGGAGAATATATTATTTTCTGTTCTTAGAGGAACAAAATAACACGAAGAACATTCAAATTTACACTGAAGTAACTTACATTAAATTATAAATTAAAAATATAAGATTGAAACAGAGAAACCAAAACCGTAATATGTACCTAAACAAATGAAATTTTATCTAAAAGACACAAGCTTCACTTCAAAATCATCACATTTAGTGAAGCTTCCTTTTTTGGTCAAGTATGAAAGGTTAGAAAGAACTACTTAGACGCACTTATAAGGGCAGCCAACGTTTTAAATTGCGCAGCCCAAGTACCTAAGAGAGATCTCAAATTTCAGCCAAATTCAAGATCCCATAACCTTAGAAAAACAAACTATTTAACGCATACAATCTAAAAGGAAATCTCTAAACAGCCCCTATTTTCAAATTTCCCTCCTAAACTCCTAAATCCTTCCTAATCAGAGCTTTTGGACTCTGCAGTTTGAGCAGCACGAGTGGGAGGTAGAACTTCTCCGCCTATGTTACACGCAAGCCACCCCTGTATGGACCGGCTGGACATATCTAGTGGACTGGTCTAACACAATTCAATGTCCTCGTATTGCTTACCTCCTTAAATTAGCTCAATCTTTCTCATGTTGCTCTAAACTCTGCTTATCGAATTGAACACTCAAATAAAACCTAGAAAGTAGCAGGTACAAACATTGATCCCCAGTCCTTGATAGCAATGACTACTCAAAAGATGTTTTCAAAAAGTAGTGTGATTGGAAGTGGATGCAATTTCCTCAAAATCAATGAACAAAAATAAAAAATTAGAAAGAAGAACACACAAAAACTCTTTTTATTGTAAGATATATGAAAGAAAATCATAAGATATAGTTAGATCTTCAATTGGAGAGGAAGATCCGGCTCTTCTAATCCCTAGCCATCGGCTAGAACTCACTCAACCTAAGCAAAATTAATTCTAGCAAAATCAAGCATAATCTGAAATCACCCCATAGTTAGCCTTAAATAGGCTCCCCTAATTCCCTCCCAAATCAACCCCCTTTCCCTAAATTATTTCCTCTCAGATTTAAATTCAAATTAGATATCTTTCCCTAATTAATTCTCTCCCAATTATAATTAAAACTTTTCTAAAACATTCCCATTGATTCCTCCTTACATAATGAATATTAACTCCATTGGGCTTTCCTTAAATAATTACCTCTCGGATTTAAAATCAAATTAGATTTCTTTCTCTAATTAATTATCTCCCAATTGTAATTAAAACTTTCCTAAACAATTCCCCCTCTCTCTTCTTGCCCGTCGCCCACCCTAATGGGGCACACCAGCTTAGTCGTTGGTTCATCAATAATCACCTCCCAAAGAGCCACCTTATTCTCAAGGTGGAACGAATGAAATTGTCGCTGAAGCATTGGGCTAATAGCAATGGACTAGAAAATGGACTGACAATATGTCGAACAATCCCTACCTCGAGCATCTTTTTAATCAATCTCTCAATCTCTTTATTTTGAATTTGGGGATGACGGTATAGACGGACATTGATAGGTGGTGAGACTCCTTCCTTCAAGATGATAGCATCCTCGCATTTTTGCGGAGGAGGCAACCCGTGAACTGACTGGAACACCTTTCGATACTGCTGTATGTTGACCTAAAACCTCCGCTCAGACAAAACTATCGACCCACTACCCCACTTCCCCCACGTTAATCTTCAACCGCCTCCACGTTCCCTATTATGCAAACAAAAAAAGACCCCTCTCCCCATTCAGACAGACACGCACACAGAGAAGGAACTTATCGAACAGAGACCGGCTCCCCTCGATCTCCTGCTTGCAATCTTTTTGCTCTGACGCTTGAAGCCGAAGATGCCAACCGCTCCTAACTTCCTACACCGCCAACTCCACCCACCAGCACTTGCCGGACTTCATCCGCCGAGCCCGATTCCTCCTCTTCTCACAATATAGGCTGACCCGTGCCCTAGCCAACCTCCAATCTTCCCGCCGCCGGCAGCTCTTGCTCCTACCATCAACCGCCTGAGCTGACGCCGCCGACCCCACCTGGTCCGTCGCCGACCAAGGATCTCTGGCTTGCTCCCGTGCGTGACCGGCCCTAGCCCGATTGGGCTTCTTCCGATCCTCTCCCTCTCTGTATATTGATTTATATAATATATATCTTATAATATATATCCATCAATTGGAGCTTCTGAAGATCAATTCCGGGACCCGACAACATCCTGAAGGCCCCGGCCGTGGACTTGCAAGGGCAAATGCTCTCCTTACCTCCCGACGCCGGAAAGGGGATGTCAGGAGGTTGTCGAAATTTTCTAAAAAAATTCAGGACTTAGCCAAATTTTTGAAAGATTGGAGAAACACTTAATAAAAATTTAATTTTAATTAAGGTTCATTTAATAAATTAAAAAAAAAAAGTAAGGGATCTCCAATCGAGCATCGGCAATCATCTATCTCCATCTAATCATCGGCAACCATTATATCTGCAGCAAATCTTTGTCAATCAAAGTTTCTGAAGACCCAATCTTCTCGCCGTTGATTCACTTCGGTCGAGTCGAGCCACTCTTTACCTCCTGGTGCCGAGAGGGGGGGGGGACGCCAGAAGACTGCCGAAATTTTCAGTGAACAACAGGGGATTTGTACATAAAATTGAAAATTGATTTGAACATAATTCAAATATAAAAATCAATTTTAAATTAAATTTAATCAAATAATGGACTTATCAAACTCAAACTCGAACCATACTTGCACTCAATATGATTATAAGAACTTAAACTTTAATGAGTCACTTAGAAATTAGTAATGAATGCAACCTTTCATGCCACTCAACTTGTATAGCATTTCATAAAAATCTTTCTTCATTGACATGTACTTGTTGATGATGGTAGTAATGTCAAAAAAGTCTATGATGAAGAAGTTTATATAGATGATAATTGGAATGTCTTACAATTAAAGAGAGATATTACATTACATAAACATATATATAGTTGATGATGTTTACTTAGGGTTATGATGACAAATAGGGTAAGTGAAATAGTGAATCTTATCCATCGGGTTACTTGGTGATTCGATTCATTGTATCAAGTAATCTCGTTGGAGGTGGAGTTATAATCTTTCTCTTGTATAGGATTACTCATCCAAGAATTGGAGAATTACAATCTCTTCCAAGTCAAAAGATAACACTTCCAAATATATATACATTCTTCTTAGTCATATATGTATATTCGTCTTTACATTAGGCATACTATTATGAGTCAAAAGATTAAGTTACCAAAGGCATATAAGCTTGATGCATCCCTTAGTAAAATTGAAATTACATATTCATACACATGTGGTGTGACGCGAGATGCTTTAGAAAGCTATTGCAATAGATCTTAAACATTCAAAGGGTTATTGTGTGCAAAGGGACAGTATGTCTAGCCATGGGAAAGTTTAAATACGATTTGGAAGAATGATGAAAGAAATAATATTAACAATATATGACTGTGAAGGAGAAGCCAAGTTTAAGCGAGCTATTCATTATTGATTGTGTTAGGACTTCTAATATACATACAATTGAGTGCTTCTATGAGTCTCTTAAGAGAGATATGATGTGTGCAATGCATTATATACACTTCCAAGGCAACAAGTTGTGATGAATGCTAACGCTTACAAGCAATGATAAAAGGCTTATGATATACACGATAGCCTATCTACAAGTTAAGTTGATAACTCTTGAATACTCATAGATAAACCCACGAATAGATCCAATAAAAATTTGCAGCACACATGCCACCAGATTCGCAACATGTGTACAAGCGAATAGAAGGCCTTCGTAGCCCCTTAAATTAAACCTTGGGCATTTTCTAAACAAAATCACTCTCGCAAATGGATCATATTTAAATATTTTAAAATGCCCTTATGTATTAAATATGATCCCTTAAACTAAATCCACCCTGCATCAATGTTTAAAATTGTGTATTCGGGTATTAAGGCGTTTTTCATTCGTGAGGCGAGGCGTAAGACTCAAGGCATTTTGAGGCGTAAACCTCAAAATCAAAAGATTGTGTAAACATAAAATGATAAATTTTTTATATACTAATGAGTGAATAATATAAAATATAAAAAAACATAAGATATGAAATGAAATCAAAATATCCCAATAATAAGACAACATGAACTCAAAATTCTATCTTTCCCAAATCCCAGTATTCTTTTCATTAACATATAATTCAAATTTCCAAAAATAAATAGCAATGACATATCACATAAGAACTCATAAGTCATTAGCACTGTCATCACTAAGGGGTTCTTCATTTGAATTATTATTATGATGAACTGCTCTCTCCCCTTCCTCCTCTCCTATAGAGTCCAATGTCAGGCATTTACTTCAAGATTTATGTAAGTTTTAATATACATAGCGTGAGGCGTAAGCCTCATGCCAGTGAGGCGAGGCGGGCTTCAAGGCGAGCCTCAACTAAGTTAAGGCGCAAGCCTCATAAAAAAACTCGAGGCATTTTTTACTAGAATTGCGCAAAGGTGGGCCTCAAGGCGAGCCTCATATTACGCAATTTTAAACCACGCCCTGCATGTGCTCCGGTCAACGTGGTAAAAGTAAAAATACAAATGTCTGAGAATGCTGCGCAGGGTCAAATACACATTCCATGTTTAAACTAAATATATCCCTGCATATGCTCTAACAAACCTATTACAAGTACAAACACCAATGTTTGAGAATGCTACGTAGGGTCAAATACTGTAACCCGCATGTGCTCTGATCGTCATATCTAAATTCCAAATCCAACGATTCGAGAATGCTGTGCGGGCCAAATATTCAAGTGTCATCCTTCTCCTCAAAAGGACTGGAGTCGACC